ACTCTACTTGACTCAAGGTACACACACAAACACGTTGGTATCACTTCCCTTAAAGTTCCATAAGCATGTACCATGCGCCTAACAAGATTCGGATACTGTGCTAGGGACTCTGGGTAAAAATATGGGCAAAACTCTAGACTAGTGGAGGAGACATATGTTTGATCATTTCAGTACAGAGTGGTCCATGTTCACGCAAAGCTACATACCCAGCTCCCCAGAAGAGGGGTGCTTAGCCCAGCCCTGGGGCTTGGGGAGGACCTTGTTGTTATTCATTCTATATATAATAATTTACCTCTGCTAATCCCAAATTCACTAATTCTCCCTCCCCTTCCCCTTCCCCCGGTAGCCATAAGTTTGTTCTCTGTGAGTCTATTTCTGTTTTGCAAATAAGTTCATCTGTATCATTTTTTTTTAGATTCAGTATGTAAGCAGTATCCATATGATATTTGTCTTTCCCTGACTTCCTTCACTCAGTATGACAATATCTGGGTCCACGCACGTTGCTGCAAGTAGCTGTAATTCATTCTTTTCTATGGCTGAGTAATATTCCTTTGTGGCCTGTATGTGCATCTCTTCTTCATCCACGCATCTGTGGAGGGACATGGAGGTTACCGCCAGGACTTGGCTGTTGTTCACCGTGCTGCAGTCAACACTGGGTGCACGTGTCCTTCAGATCATGTTTTTCTCTGAGTGTATGTCCGGGAGCAGGACTGCAGTATCATATGGCAGCTCTATGTTTCATTTTTTAAGGAACTTCCATACGGTTCTCCACAGTGGCCACACCAATGCGTATTCCCACCAACAGTGTAGGAGGGTTCCCTTCTCTCTACACCCTCTCCAGCATTTATTGTTTATAAATTTTTTGATGATGACCATTCTGACTGGTATGAGGTGATATCCCAATATAGTTTTGATTCGCATTTCTCTTATACTTAATGAACTTCCCTGGTGGTTCAGACAGTAAAGCGTCTGCCTACAATGCGGGAGACCTGGGTTCGATCCCTGGGTTGGGAAGATCCCCGGGAGAAGGCAATGGCAACCCACTCCAGTACTCTTGCCTGGAAAATCCCATGGACGGGGGAGCCTGGTAGGCTACAGTCCACGGGGTTGCAAGCAGTTGGACACGACTGAGCGACTTCACGTTCTTTACTTTCTATGATTAATGCTGTTGAACATCTTTTCATATGCCTATTAGCCATCTGCATGTCTTATTTGAAGAAATGTCTATTTAGGTCCTCTGCCTATTTTTTGAGTGGGTTGTTTATTTTTATATTACACTGCATGAACTGTTTGTAAATTTTGGAAACACCCCTTGTCGGTTACATCATTTGCAAATATTTTTTCCCAATCTGTGGGTTGTCTTTTGGTGTTGTTTATAGTTTCCTTTGCTGTGTAAAAACTTTTGAGCTTAATTAGGTCTCATTTGTTTATTTTTGTTTTTATATCCATTACTCTGGGGGGTGGAATGAAGATACTGCTGCAATTTATGTCAGAGAGTGTTCTGCCTACGTTTTCCTCTAACGTTTTACAGTGTCCAGTCTTACATTTAGGGCTCTAATGCATTTTGAGTTCATTTTTTGTGTATGGTGTTGAAGAGAGTTTTAATTTCCGTTTTTTACATGTGGCTGTCCAGTTTTCCCAGCACCATTTATTGAAGAGACTGTCTTTGCTCCATTGTATAGTCTTATCTACTTTGTTGTAGATCAATTGACCGCAAGTGTGTGGGTTTATCTCTGGGCTTTCTGTCCTGTTCCATTGATCTATATGTCTGCTTTTGTGCCAGTGCCACACTCTTTTGATGACTGTAGCTTTGTAGGATAGTCTGCAGTCGGGGCATCTTATTCTTCCAGCTCCACTTTTCTTTCTCAAAATTGCTTTCTCTGTTTAGGATCTTCTGTGTCTTCATACAAATTTTAAGATTTTTTTTGTTCTAGTTCTGTGAAAAATGCTGTTGGTAATTTGATTGCATTGAATCTGTAGATTGCTTTGGGTAGTGTAGTCATTTTTGACAATATTCTTTCTTCCAATTCAAAACACAGTGTGTCTTTCCATCTGTTTGTGTCCTCTTCAATTGCTTTCATCAGCGTCCTATAGTTTTTAGTTTTTTGAGGAAGGGGCTGCACCAACCTACATTCCTACTGACAGTTGTAGGAGGGTTCCCTAGAAAAGGGCATCTTGGTAAAGGGCACAGCATAACAAAGGCAAGTACAAAAGAAAGAGCGTTGTATTAGGGAGTATGTGTTGGAGACCATGGGATGAGTGGCAGCCGGTGAGTCCAGGTTAGGATAGACGTTGTGGGCACGCTATGTTGGGGACCCGTGGCATTACTCTGAAAATAATGGGTGAGCCATAGAGGGGATTCCATCAAAGGAAGCATTTTAGTGAGATCACTTGAACTGTAGGAAAGATTGAAGGTGCTTGAATCCGAGGTTCAAGGGAGGAGTTGAGGCTGGAGAAACACCTGGGAATTAGTTGAATGTTGGTGAGTTATTACATCACACATAGGTATTTGAAGGGTCACTGGATGCTGGGCCTGTTGCTGTGGCATTTTTTGAAAAGATAATTATTTACAAGTAAGTCTATTTTGTGTCCCACTTGGCAACTGTACTTAGGAAGCCTGTTCATTTACTTTCCTGGAATTGTTTTTGAAATAGCTTTGCCTTCCCAGAAACCAGAGAGTACATATCCAATTCCATGTGAGTCTGCACTGATATAATAGGCAGTGAAGATGATGTTTTGCAATTTTCTGATTCATGGATGGCTCATCAAGGTCATCCAAGCTTAGCCTCCCCAAAACACATGGGACGAGGACTTAGCTGTGTCCTTGGTACATAATAGAGATTCAAGAAATACTTGGTTCTTTTTAATTTGGAAAGTGACCCAAAGTGTCTAGACTTCACTCTGGAAAGAGCAATGTAGTCTGGGATGCAAACAGTAAACTCATCATTCAGAAGCTTAACGTTGAGCTCTGCAGGCCTCCTAAAGCCCAGCCACTGAAGCTCGTCAGAGCACAAAAAGGTTCTCACTTTGCCAACTCAGTCCACGTGGGTGTCAGCGGATGCCGCACCTTCTGGTTAATCACTGAGTAAAGAAGACAAGGATTAGGACCAAAGGGCTAGAGGATTTTGTCTTAAGCACTTGCCTTATGAGAAAGCCTTGAGGAAATCCAGAGGCCCCTTGACAAGTGCCATGTAATGAGTTCTCCCACTCATGAGGAGCAGATGAGTCAGCAGGCTGAAACTGTTGTTTTAAATAAAATCCCCCAAACAAATTCCTATATCAAACACAAGACAGGAGGAATGTCATTGTAAATCCCAAGGGGCACAGCTTCCTCACGTTCAGAAGCTGTACGTGCCTGCTGCTTATGTTTCATTTAGAAAGCAAATGGAAACCTGCCTCTCAGAGACAGGAGTAAAGGAAAAGAGTTTTACGGGCTGGTGCTTGGGGCCACGGCGTTTTCCAGAAGGTGTGTGAGAAAAGAGATTATCCTGTCTGAGCAGCCCCCGGGGTGGAGGGTGGGGTCTGCATGGCAGGCACCCAGTGGACCCCCCACCCCCACGCTGAGCTGGGGGCAGAAGCTGGTTGGACAACACCCAGGAGTTACGAGCCCAGGATTTTGTAGGTCTTGGACTCAGGGTCTGGTAATTTTCATCTCATAACGATAAGGAACAGGAGCAGAGCCCTGAGAGAGGCGTTGTCTCAGCGGCAGACACCGGCCCCGCCCCAGTCAAGCTCCCGTCTTCCCGGCTGGCAGAGCCCCAGGGAGGTCTGGGCGGCAGGGTGCCCAGCCTCCTCTGTGTGAGGCACTTTCCATGACCCTGTGACCCAGTTCCGGCCAATGAGGCAGAGGGACGTCTAGTGATAGGGAGTGGGGGGCAGGTCAGGGGAAGATCTCTCAGTACAAAGATGCTGGAGGAGAGCGTCCTTCCGCCACCTCTCTTCCTTCCGACCTGGGATGCTGGCCAAGGACGTCATGGTAGGTGTCGGGATGGACGTCCTGTAAGCATGATGGGGTGGATGCCAGAATCCAAAGCCAGCAGGGAGGGTAAGCGGAAGGCACCAAGAGCCTGCTGATGAATGAGGTCTGTGGGCTATTGCAGCCAATGGGGACCTACCTGTCTTTGAACAAGGCATCTGAAATGACTGAAGAGTGCCATTTCGTATCATCCCCTGGGAGCCGGTTATTCTTTTACTTGCACCTGAACTCGTGAAACAGACTAAGTTTTGGTAGATCCTAAAACCTCATGCGAACAGTTGACTCATTGGAAAAGACCCTGATGCTGGGAGGGATTGGGGGCAGGAGGAGAAGGGGATGAAAGAGGATGAGATGGCTGGATGGCATCACTGACTCGATGGACGTGAGTCTGAGTAAACTCTGGGAGTTGGTGATGGACAGGGAGGCCTGGCGTGCTGCAATTCATGCAAAGAGTCAGACATGACTGAGCGACTGAACTGAACTGAACTGAACCAACTTGACCCTTATTTTCACCCATTCCTGTCTAGGTCATTGTAACAAACACTGGAAGGCAATATTGAGAGAGAGAATCCTCGGGTAGGTTGACAAGGAGTCCAGGGACCTCAAGGAGGAGAAAGGGACAAACACTTTTTTATGCATTTGCTTTGTCTTAGTCACAGAAGACGTTCTTTTCTTAAACTCTGAGTTGTTATGACAACAATCTTTAAGACTTTCTTTGAGCCCAGAGCTAATGATTACACAACAAAACAACTCATGTTCTCCCTTAAGCTCTGTGGAAAGTGAAAGTGAAGTTGCTCAGTCGTGTCCGACTCTTTGTGACCCCATAGACTATAGCCCACCACGCTCCTCCGTCCATGGGATTTTCCAGGCAAGAATACTGGAGTGGGTTGCCATTTCCTTCTCCAGGAGGTCTTCCTGACGCAGGGATTGAACCCGGATCTCCCGCATTGCAGGCAGACGCTTTACCGTCTGAACCACACAGTTCAGTGCAGCTGCTCAGTCGTGTCTGACTCTTTGCAGCCCCATGAACCGCAGCCAGGCCTCCCTGCCCATCACCAACTCCCGGAGTCCACCCAAATCCATGTCCATCGAGTCGGTGATGCCATCCAACCATCTCATCCTCTGTCGTCCCCTTCTCCTCCTGCCCTCAATCTTTCCCACCATCAGGGGCTTTTCAAATGAGTCAGCTCTTCGCATCAGGTGGCCAAAGTATTGGAGTTTCAGCTTCAGCATCAGTCCTTCCAGTGAACACCCAGGACTGATCTCCTTTAGGATGGACTGGTTAGATCTCCTTGCAGTCCAAGGGACTCTCAAGAGTCTTCTCCAACACCACAGTGCAAAAGCATGCTTCCCTTGTGGCTCAGCTGGTAAAGAATCCACTTGCAATGTGGGAGACCTGGGTTCGATTCCTGGGTTGGGAAGATCCCCTGGAGAAGGGAAAGGCTACCCACTCCGGTATTCTTGCCGGAGAATCCCATGGACAGAGGAGTCTCTGGCTGGCTACAGTCCATGGGGTCACGAAGAGTCAAATACAACTGAGTGACTAACCGTTTCACTCACTTTTACGGGGGAACGAGGAAGCGCAGACCATGGCTCTTTGCTGAAGAAAGCCTGCCGCTCAGCCTGGGACAGAGTTCCGCCGTGAGTCAGGCGGACTAGCAGTGCTGGACGAGGGCCGTCGTAAGGCAACTGGCACCACGTGTCCGTCCGGGCCCCACCTGTTAGGCTCGGGCCAGCTGGGTAGGGAGGCAATGCAAGGTTTGAGGAGGGCGCCGGAGCCCTGAGCAGCTGGGAGGGTCAAACGGTCCGAGCGGAGATGTCCCTGTCAAGGGCTGGAGCCTTGGCAAGACGGGAGCAGCTCCACCACCCAGCAAGGCAACCACCACCAGAGCCATGGGCACGGGCCTCTGTGGAGAGAGGTTAAGGATGCTCTTAAGAGCTGACTGGAGAAGAAAATAGCATTCCCAATAAAGAGTAGGAAGCGGGGCTCCTCATCCTCCCGTTCCATGAGGCATCTGACCAGCAGGGACCAACAAAGCAAGCCCTGTCCTCGGCAGCTCAGCGCGCCCAGCCGTGCCCCTCTCTGGGCGGTCGGAGCGATGCGGACACCTGTCCCTTGTGCGTGGTGACAGCTCCCTGGACAGACGGGGTCAGCGACGTGCAGAGCAGAGGTGGGGTCGGGTGCTTTGAGCTGTGTGTGTGGCGGGGAGGAGGCGTCCCCAGGCTGTTCATCAGGAGCCAGCCTTGGGCATGCGGGCGCCAGCTCTCAAAGCGCATGACGGGCTGGCAGCTTTGCATGTAGATTGCACAAGCAAGAGGTACTCCTGGGTCTGGCCTTTCAACACACTCCGTGGGCCGTGTGGGCTCAGGAGCACAAGGAGCGAGGCTGGTTGGCCTCGTACAGCCTGGCCTCGAGCCCTGCTGTCGGGAGACACTCTGCTTGGCTTGGCTGCAGCTTGTGTGCTAAAGTCTGGCTGAATGGGCTGCCAAGGACCAGAGTTTATGTAAACACGCAGAGGCCATGGTTCTTGCTCCACACAGGAGCACATATCTGATGGTCCTCACATCCCAGTTGCAAGGGAAGCGTGTTGGGGGAAGGCGGGGAGGGTGTGTGTTGTCCTTTGTGAGTGTCTTCACCACCGTAACCTAGAAACACGTCAGATTTCATCTGTTCCTGCAGTTGAATCCCATTGGCTTGGCTGAGATGCTGAGGGGTACCCTGCTCCTTGGCACCCCTCCCTTCCTTGGTGATGCTGCCTGTGGTCTCATTTAGGAAGCGGGCCCTGCCCGACCTGTCAAGAGGGAAGGTGCGAGGCTGCTGTGCGTCCAGGGAAAGGCAGCTGACAGCTACAGGGTCCGTGTTTTATATTTTGATTTAAAAAAAATGAGTCACTTGTTTATTTCTATTTCTTTCTAAAAAGGATTGGAGTCTGTTTACAATTAGATCCTGTTTTTTCCCCTCTTGTGTTTTCTTTGCTTTTTGGTTATTTATAATGTAAAAACACCCTATTTTTAAACTTTCCACCTTTAGTCACAGTTTCTTTGGGAACGGTTTTCTGTTTTTAAAGGCTCTATCATTTGTCTCCTTCTGCAGCTCAAAGGAGATGGTAAACAAGGCCTGTGAGCCACATCAGCCCCACCACCTGTTTTTGTAAATAAAGTTTTATTGGAACACAGGCACGTGCATCTGTCTATTATTGACCTGCCTGCTTTTGTGTTACTAGGGCAGAGTTATAGAGTCAGGGCAGAGACTGTGAGGCTGCAAAGCCAAAACTATTTACTATCTAGCCCTCTGTAGAAAAAGAATAAATACTAAATATAATTTAAAACTTTAAGTTATCATTTTAAAATGCTATCTGACCCAAGTGCATTTATCCTGATTGGCACTGTGCGGTGATGTGTGGCTAGAACTGGTGTCCATTCTTTTCTGTAACAGTGTCGCCCTGATTCCCGAGGCCCAGCCTTTCTGAATCTAAAACTTTATTTCTGACCTGCAAAGGCTGCTCTTTCTGGGTTCAGTCCCAGACAGAGGCTCAGCCCAGTTCTGTGATTCCCATCCTCCAGCACAGGACTCGGTCAGTGTGGAAGGCTTGGCTGAAAGTTTGGGGCAATGGAAATAAAGTTTTAGACTGAGGACTAGACACAATTCTGAAAATCCCTCTGGTAACCCTTTTTGCCCCCACTAGGAATATGTTTTTGACCATCTTGCTCTTTAGATGTTCATGATATTGTTTGACCCTTCTCTTCCACTTTCTTCTGGAGAGCTATCATGCTCTCTACTTCTAATTTAGAGTATACCTGATATCCTCTAATGCTGGTATGTACCAGTAACTGGAAAATAACTGGAATATGAGAGGGAAATTTTCTGTGTTGCAGGGGAACTTTGCTTCCCGAGGCTTCAGGTTTCCACAAGGAGGGGCATCAATTAGCGGAACATGAGTGGCCTCTCTCTACTTCTCACTCACTGGTCCTCAAGGAGGAAGGACACCTAATATTTTAGATAAGCTTGGGATAAGGACTGACCACATGCCCCTTCCTCAGTCTCCTTCCCTTGGGACACAGCTTCCTGGAAGCCCATATGCTGGTCTTGCAGTTTGGTGAGATAATTTCAGTCCAAGGGACTAGGGGTATTTGGCTTGTGTGGTGGGACTACGACAAATAAACAAAGAATGGAATTTGATGAGCAAACTAACTTTTGTAGGTAGAAACTTTCAGTGGACAGGCCATGCATTCTAGGGTGGATTTCCCTATTAGGAGACAAGGAGATAAGGATTTGAGGGCAAGTGATTTGTCTGAAAGGTGAGCTTAGGAAGCACCAGGTTGGGGTGTGAGGAAAGGATTGCAGTCAATCAAGCCACTTACCATTTGGGTGATCAGAGCTTAACCCCACAGTAGACTCTGGGAAATGGTGCAGAGTCTGCACCTCAGAGCTGTCCTGCTGGAGAGGTGGGGGAGCTGAGGTATTTATACTCCAGCTCTTGTCAGCCACTGATTGAGGGTTGGTCCTGGGGGGTGACCTCCTAGGCACATCTGGCCTTCCCCACATCAGAAAGCAACCTTTTTACCTTTGAAGAAAACCCACAGGTGAAGAAGGCGGTGCTATGGTGGTGGTAAAGAACCCACCTGCCAATGCAGGAGACATAAGAGATGCTAGTTTGATTCCTGGGTTGGGAAGATCTGCTGGAGGAGGAAATGGCAACTAATTACAGTATTCTTGCTGGGAAAATACCATGAACAGAGGATCTTGGCGGGCTACAGTCCATGGGGTTGCAAAGAGTTGGACACGACTGAAGCACTCACAGGCAAAAACCCCTCAGGCCGCTGCTCACTCCCTGAGGCTGAAAGGCTAGAGGGAGGTGGGTGGGGCCAGAACAGCTATCACTATCACGGACTGGTGTGGAAGGGTGAATTTGGCATCTCTTTCTTAGTTAACTGTGTTTTAGCTTTACTCTGGGACCTAGGATCGAGAGAATCTAATTTTGGTCTTTCTCAGAATTTGTTTTCCAATCACAGAATCTCACGGTTGGCTGTTTAGTTATGGCTGTTCTCCAAGACCACAGGTCCTGGACCATTTCCAAAAGACTCCTTTGGCTCAGCAGTAAATAATCTGCCTGCCAATGCAGGAGACACAGGAGACGCAAGTTCGATCCCCGGGTTGGGAAGATCCCCTGGCAGAGGGCGTGGCAACCCCCTCCAGTATTCTTGCCTGGAGAATCCCATGGACAGAGGAGCCTGGCGGGCTGCAGAGAGTTGGACACGACTGAGCGCGCACACACACACCGAGTCTCACCATGGATCCTCTCCATGGGGCTGCCTGCCTGCCAGGGCCCCAGCTGCCTCCTCGAAACCAGGGCCATTCCCCCAGCACTTCCGGCAGCAGCTCCGGCAGCTTGTCATCCTCTGTCCATGGACAATGGTATTTCTGGGCCTTCACACCACGGGTTCTTCCAGGAGAGGGGAGGAGGCTGAGAACAGCTGAAAATCTGAGCAATAAACTGATTTGTCCAGTGCTCATAGATCCTCACTTTGTCTCTCATGTCCCTTCCAGAGAGACTAGTTTCTTAGTCTCAGTAGAAAATTATTGGTGAATGTGCTGATTGACCCAATTAGGTCAAGGGTCCTCCTGCCACCAATCAGGGGGTGGACTCCCATAGAGGCAGCAGGTAGCCCCCAGTGTAGCTGCGTGGCTAGAATTGGGGAATTGTGTGGGTTGGGCAATCCAATAGCTGCCCACCTCCCCCATAACAGATACTTCTCCACCCTCTGAACAAGGTCATTGGTGCATCTGTACTAGTCATGACTTGAAAAACAGGTTTTCAGGCTCTTCCGGGCCTTAAGTGAAGCATTAAGCATTGTCACCCTTGGCCAAGGAGAAGGGTCAACAGTGGCATCAAGAAGGTCGCGCAGTGAAGTAAAGGTGCCCCACCCTCTGGTCACATTTTACTGTAGAGTTAAAAGGCTTTCGTAGGTCCAAGATGCAGGAGAATTGGCCCTGTCATCTTCATTTAGCATTTGTCAAGCGTTCTAGAATATCACTTGACTATGAGTTAGCTGTATGGTTCAGAAATTTTTAAACTCCTCTAAGGGCAGAAAGTGAAGAGGAACCTGAGTCTCTTGATGAAGGTGAAAGAGGGGAGTGAAAAAGCTGGCTTGAAACTCAACAATAAAAAAAAAGCTAAGATCATGGCCTCCAGTCCCATCACTTTATGGCAAATGGAAGGGGGAAAAGTGGAAGCAGTGTCAGATTTTATTTTCTTGGGCTCCAAAATCACTGTGAATGGTAAGTGCAGCCATGAAATTAAAAGATGCTTGCTCCTTGGAAAAAGAACTATGACAAGCCTAGACAGCATAGTAAGAAGCAGGGACATTACTTTCCCAACAAGATCCGATTAGTCAAAGCTATGGTTTTCCTGATAATCATATACAGATATAAGGGATGGACCATAAAGAAGGCTGAGCACCAAAGAACTGATGCTTTTGAACTGTGGTGTTGAAGAAGACTCCTGAGAGTCCCTTGGACTGCAAGGAGATCCAACCAGTCCATCCTAAAGGAGATCAGTCCTGGGTGTTCATTGGAAGGACTGATGCTGAAGCTGAAACTCCAATACTTTGGCCACCTGATGCAAAGAACTGACTCATTTGAAAAGAGCCTGATGCTGGGAAAGATTGAAGGCGGGGGGAGAAGAGGGTGACAGAGGATAAGATGGTTGGACAGCATCACCGACTCGATGGACATGAGTTTGAGCAAGCTCTGGAAGATAGTGGAGGACAGAGAGGCCTGGTGTGCTGCAGTCCATGGGGTCGCAAAGAGTTGGACATGATTTAGCAACTGAACAACAACAACAGTTTTCAAACATGATGCTGATCTGTTTGGGCTGAGCTTGCAAACTATCACTGGAAGTGAAGTAACCACGCCGACTCTGTTCTTAACCCAAAAAGAGTCAGGTGACTTGCTTTGATCTCATGAGAGCATAGCATATTGGTTTAATGTAGAGACTTTGGTGATTAAAAAATATCAACATCCCAGACCTGTGCAAAGAACAGCCACATCAGCAAAGATCCTCACAATATTAAAGCAATGCTAAGGACACACTTCCCTATTTAAAGAGGACTCTGTGGGAGAAGGCGAGGGTGGGATGTTTCAAGAGAACAGCATTGAAACATGTATATTATCTAGGGTGAAACAGATCACCAGCCCAGGTTGGGTGCATGAGACAAGTGCTCGGGCCTGGTGCACTGGGAAGACCCAGAGGGATCAGGTAGAGAGGGAGGTGGGAGGGGGGACCGGGATGGGGAATACATGTAAATCCATGGCTAATTCATTTCAATGTATGACAAAAACCACTGCAATGTTGTAAAGTAATTAGCCTCCAACTAATAAAAATAAATAGAAAAAAAATAAAGAGCACATTTCACAGAAGAGGAGGTTGAAACTGCAGAAACATTGAAGTCAAGTGAAGTCTGTTGTGTCCAACTCTTTGCAACCCTATGTACTGCAGCCATCCAGGCTCCTCCATCCATGGGATTTTCCAGGCAAGAGTACTGGAGTGGGTTGCCATTTCCTTCTCCAGGGGATCTTCCCGACCCAGGGATCGAACCCGGGTCTTCCGCATTGTAGGCAGATGCTTTACCATCTGAGCCACCAGGAGATTGCAGAAACATTGGAGACTGGAATATAATTAACGCAGAAATAGCAGAGGATTCTAGAATCCTGGAAATATCACCTCCTTGGTTATTGTGCTCAACATAATTATTGAAAATATGCCCAAATCCAGGCATTTGAAGAGTCAGAGCAGGACTTGTAGGTGCTTTGGGCTTTGGCCAAACAAGCTGCATTTCTAACAGCATAAACAGTGTCCACAATATGCAGAGCTGTGCCCATCAGGCAGCCCACTGCAGTGTCCAGATTTAGTGACTGGTCACAGGTCGTTTGGTGCCCAACTGGCTTTGTCATGGCCTCTCGGGGCGAAGCGGAAGGCTCCCCTTGGGGTGGGCACGATAACGTGACCTCCAATGATGTCAAATTCTGGCACAGTGACTGACACACCATCAGCTTGGGCCGGGGGACTGTCTGATGTTCGTGGGAGTTGAGATTCTAAGTTGGCCAGTGGGATTAATGCATTGAGACCAAAGAGGAAATAGATCAGGGCCCCTCTGGGGATGACATCTGCTTTCGTTGTGAAATAACACAAAAAGTGTTGGACTCTTAACATTGTTGGCTGAAAACTCTCTGTCCCCACAGCAGGACAGCCTCAGGATATCAGGAGAATTTGTGTTGAATAGAAACAAGTCTGAAAGAAGAAGATGGTGGCTGAATCTCTTCTTTCCATGGGATGATGAATCTGTCTAGATCATTACTTACTAATGATGGTGAATTCAATCTTAAAACCCAAACAATAAAGTCTTAGAAAATTCAGATGGACAAGTGAAACTCTTGGGAATCAAATCTTCTGATGGCCAGGTTTCTCCACTTCTAAACTGATCATTGTACATAAAATCAGAACTGAGTCCATAGAGGAGAGGATTTGAATACTATTACTCTATGATGAGGAGAAGGTTGAATTTCTTTGAGAATTAAGTGGAGGCATCTGTTTTGTTTAAATTAAGGGTCTTTAAGTATCAGCCAGGGACTGAGTTGACAGCCATTTCTCTAACAAAGTAATAAATCATGGGGATGGTTAAGGAAGCAAGGAACACCACATTCTTGCTTTGTTCAACCAATTAAGCAAAAAGCCATCTGGGTCCTTTTGCAAATTACTGTCAAGCACAACTTATACGATTCAATTCAGCCTTTCATTTAATTATATTAATTTATTCCAGCAACTTTAAATACCAAACAATGCCAATACCAATGTTCATTGGTAAAACAGAAGTCTAGTTTAGCTTTTATTTTTTTTAACTATTAACACTCTTCCCAAGGTTGTCATCTGAGAATTTTTAGCTCTGTCTCAGCCTCAGGATAGTAGGAGAATTTGTGCTGAACACAAACAAGTCCGAAAGAAGAAGATGGTGGCTGAATCTCTTCTTTCCATGGGATGATGAATCTGTCTAGATCAGTGCTATCCAATAGGCCTGTTTTCATGATGGAAGGTGCTATTATCTGTGCTGTCCAACACAGTGGCTCTTGAGTACTTGAAATGTAGCCAGTACCACTGAGGAACTGAGCCTAAGTTTTCTTTAATTTTAATGAATTTGTGTTTAGATATAGCCACAGGTGGCCAGTGGCTCTTTGCCCAGGTCTAGAGTGTATTCTGAGGAAGGACAAATACACTGTGCCATTAACTTCAACAGGTAGAGAAGAGATGCATAGTTATGAGGGATATTTTTTGGAAACCCTCACTTCCTGTTGAGGGTTTGTTATCTGAAACACACGGTATCCCGAGACAGCCCAGAGGAGATCAGCATCTTTGAGGGGAGATTTATAAGCTGACCGTGTGAAGAGGGAACTCCATCTGGAAGAGAAATGGGCACCACCTCTTCTTAATCGCAGAACCAGCCCCACTCAACAACCCTTAAGTCCCATCTAGATGGGCCAAGTCACAGCAACAGAGCCATCCAGCTTTCACCAGCATGGACTCTGCCCTGACGGGGCTGTGTTCTTCCTGCGGCTGAATGTTCAGACGGGGGTCCCTTTGGGGGTAACCAGACATTTCCTGGGGGCTCAGACCCAGCCCTTTCAGCCTCATGGACATCAACACCCCACTCTAGTTCCTCTCAAAGGAATTTTGACTCAGATGCTGGCATTTCCCTCCCAGGGAGATTTGCCTCTTTGCAAAAGTTGCTTGTTCTGATCCAATCAACGCAAGCCTGGTAACAGGACATCAGGAGTTTCTCACCTGTACACACTTTCTTTTAGTGGGAGTGTTCAGTCTAAGCTGACCCAACACCAATGACCTTAGAGAAGCGTATTGCATGAGAATCTGATTATGGTTAATCAAGCTAGAGAACAGTGAGGGCAAGGGTGAATGGAGGTAGAAAGTCCCAAGAAAATTCTCATTAACATGAAAACATCTTATTCCAGGTCTACTGACTCTTGGCAGCTGCTAGGCGGAGCTGAAAATTGGGCAAAGGTCTCTGTAATACTATTTTATCTGAGTAGCTTACTTCCTTCATCTGAGCTATGGTTCAACTAATGAACAATGATATTTGTCTCATAAGCCTATTCTAAAGTTCTTGGATGTCAGAACTTTGCACGTTCTTCACACTTTAATTTTATGGTTGTCAACACAGACAGTCCAAGGAAAGGCAGTCTAGAATAAACTGATCAGTAGGAATTATGTATTCTGAAGATGTTGTCAGGCCTCTTTCCTTTGTTATTGGTGTTTAGTTGCTGAGTTGTGTCCAACTCTTTATGACCCCATGGACTACAGCCTGCCAGGCTCCCCTGTCCATGGAATTTTCCAGGCAAGAATACTGGAGTGGGTTGCTATTTCCTTCTCCAGGGGATCATCCCAACCCAGGGATAGAACCCGCTTCTCCTGCGTTGGCAGGTGGGTCCTTTACTGCTGAGCCACCAGAGAAGACCCTTCTTTCCTTAGTCAGAGATAAAAGAAATTGTAAACTGCTCAGTAGTGGGGGGGAAAAACCAAGAATCTTCTGTACCATGCTATGATCATCTACCAGTGATGAAGACAATGAGACAATGGGTCCATAGTTTTTGTCTAAAACAGACAGTGGGCTGTGAAATAAAGGGCAGGAAGAAAAGACTTTCCATATTCATTCATGGAGCTCGCATCTCTGCTTTTGCCACTGCACACGTGTAAAGGGCCTGCTTCATGAAAGGCACGTGCTGCTGCAGTTCCCTGGGGTTGAACTGCGATGGCCACGCATCTGTGTTCCTTCTGAGGGTGGCGTTCACCGTTCATCCACGGTGCTGATGTTGTCAAATCGCCACAGCTGGCTGGCTTTTCCATCACACTCACGCAAGTACAGATCTTTATTGTTTTCCTGCACCACAGCTTCCATGCATTTCCCAGAGAGAATGTGAACAATCATTCCATTCTGAAAGGAGAGAAGAAAAAGAAAAAAAATAAATAATAAATAAAACCAGTTGGACCCTCACAATCAGTCAGCAAAGAAAGAAATATCTACAATTTGTGCTAGTCATTAAGAGAATGATAAAAGTGTTGTCAACTGGCCTGATAGGGAATTGGAGTATTTTGGTTACTATGTCATATAATTTATGCAGCCCTAAGTTTCCCAGGTGGCTCAGAGGTAAAGAATCCACCTGCCAAGCAGCAGACACAGTTGGATCCCTGGATCAGGAAGATCCCCTGGAGATGGAAATGGCAACCCACTCCAGTATTCTTGCCTGGGAAATCCCATGGACAGAGGAGCCTGGTAGGCGATGGTCCATGGGGTTGCAAAAGAGTCAGACACAACTTCGCAACTGAACAACAGCAACAACGATATGTAACGCAAAATGCCCCACCTTAACCATTTTTAAGTGTAAAATGTATTCGTGTGAAGTATATTCACACTGTGATGAAACAGATCTCCAGAACTTTTTCTTCTTTCAAAGCGGAAACTCAGTACCCGTTAAATGACAACTTCCCTTCCCCCCCTTCCTCCACTGCCAGGTAACGACCATTCTACCTTGTTTGTATGAATCTGACTTCTCTATACACCTCATATTAAGTGTGATCATAGAGCATTTGTCTTTTTGTGACCGGCTTATCTCACTTAGAATCCTGTCTTCAAGTTTCGTCCATGTTGAAGCAAATGACAGGATTTCCTTCTTTCTTAAGATGGAATAATAGTCCATTGTATGTACATAGCATATTTGGTTTATTCATTTATCAATCACTGGATTCTTGGGTTGCTTCCACCTCTTAACTATTGTGAATAGTGTTGCTCTGAACAGTACCTCATTTCTTTTTATGGCTGAATGAGAATACTTTTTTAAAGTCTTACTTTTTAATGCCTGAAAGATGCTGGGTATATCTTAGTCACTAATCTTTTACACATTATGTTTAAATGCTGTTTCTAAATCTATCTTATCCAGAGGCCTTGCTTAGAACGATCCTTTGTGATCATTCATAAAAGGCCTTAATTTGGTTTCTAAGAATTCCTTGAGCACGTGTGGCCCCCTGAGCCCTGGGTTCACTTGTCACCAAAGCCCCAAGAGTTTTGTTCTCAACACTTACTGTGAGTTCAGCTTAAGTCTTACACTACATGATTTTCCTCTTTCACAGCCTGCTTTAAGAGCGCTGGTGCATGGAGTTCTGATTAGTTATTTAACCTCCCTTATTTCCAAGCAAAAGGTGAAGATAAGACATTTTAAAAGATGTGTGTTAATTTTTTTTCATGTACTTATACCCTAGCTCACATCAGAAGGGATTTGAGGTGAAGGAAAAACAATGTACAGACAGTTGTTAATACTGTCTCCTTCCAATCTTTAAACTGCCCACTCTGTCTAAATACTTAGACTCCTCCTATTTCCTCTTTATGGATGCTAACCTCTGGAAAGGAGCTAGAGCCTCTCTCTGGGTAACGGGAATTAAATTCTTACAAAAATGATGAAATGCTCAGCACGAAATTAGCCAAGGAAGAAAGTATGATTGATGCCATCATCTATTTGATTGTGGAACAGGAGGCGGGCCTTTCCTCTGCTCCTAGAAGCACACCGCCAGTGGGGTTTGACAGCCTCTGTAACACGCCCCACAGTCCTACTCGAGGCCTGAAGCTGATAAACTTTACAGCCAGGGGGGTCTCCTCTTTCCAGGGCAGGAAGACCAGAGCGACACAGAGACCTGGTAAATTAGCACCTTTCCGGATGCTGGCGGATAACTGGGCTGCAAGGCTAGCTTCACCGCCCCCTGAGGCCTTAGCGCCAGGCCGCTAAGTTCAGCCCCAGGGACACAGGCTTGTGCGGTAAGGCTCGACCTCTCGGAAGAGCCAGACAGGTGCCCGCCAGCGGCCCCGCGAGCTCCCCCCGGCGGGCCACTCACCTCCTGATGGTCCCAGTGCTGCTGGGCCCCCTCGGTGCAGTTCTGGAGAATCACCTGCTCCCCCCTGACGTCAAAGCACAGGTGCCGTGGGCCGCCGGAGCGGATGGCGCGCCGGCCCGCGTGCTCCAGGCGCTGGGACAGAGGAACGGCCGTCAGCACAGCTAGAAGGAGACCCTGCCCAAAGCCGGATGAGGGGAGGCGAGCTCACCGCAACAGGGCCGAGGTCTGGGGGCAAGCTTCAGATTCCGCTGGAGTCAGTAAGACCCCGTCTCGTTGTCAGATCCACAGATAGCCTGCTGGACTGGCCCTGACCTCTGACACCGCCTCACTCCAGTTACCGTGGCATTCATATTTATACACTCTGACAGTTTGCTCCTTTATTCTATTTACTGCGACATAGGCGAAGCCATCGGTCCTCTCTCATAGCTCAGTTGGTAAAGAATCCGCCCGCCATGCAGGAGACCCCAGTCCAATTCCCAGGTCAGGAAGACCCCCTGGAGAAGGGACAGGCTCCCCACTCCAGGATTCTTGGGTTCCCTGGTGGCTCAGCTGCTAAAGAATCTGCCTGCAATGCAGGAGACCTGGGTTCGATCCCTGGGTTGGGAAGATCCCCTGGAGAAGGGAAAAGCTACCCACTCCAGTCTTCTGGCCTGGAGAATCCCATGGACAGCATAGTCCACAGGCTCGCAAAGAGTCAGACACGACTGAGTGACTTTCACTTTCCTTTCAGGTGAAGCAATGAAGGATGCCCTGTGTTTTGTGAGGGTCCCTGGATATTTCTCTTTGCTATAAACTTAGTTCCTTATACATAAAAGAGTGTGTTTCTTCTTATTCTTAATACAGCATATGGTGGTTTCAGCTTAGCTAGAATCCCCACCTCCCCACCAAGAATCTTGGTGGTGGTTTAGTCGCTAAGTCGTGTCCGATTCTTGTGACCCCAGGGACTGGGAACCTACCAGGCTCCTCTGTCCATGGGATTCCCCAGGTAAGAATACTAGAGTGGGTTGCCATTTCCTTCTCCAGGGGATCTTCCGGACCCAGGAATCAAACCCAGGTCTCCTGCATTGCAGGCAGATTCTTTACCGACTGAACTACAAGGGAAGCCCAAGAATCTTAACTAACTCCAAAACCTAACATTCCTCTTGCATGAAGGAAACTATTATCCCTACTTGCAGATGAGGAAACCAAGACTCAGAGAGGTTAAGAAGGCTGCCTGATGTCACACAGCCAGAAGGTGAGGTGCTTCCACGGTCATAAGGCCTCCTCACTTAACCGCTTTCTCTCTATCCTCTGGGCCGGGAGTGAGTGCCTATGGGTGTGTTCTAGAACACTGGTAGAGAGTAAAACCGGAAGGGGACAAAGGGATCCTGATTCCCTGCTTCCCAACGAGTCCTCCAGGCCCAGGGCCTTCCCCTGGGGTCCCAGAGCCTCGCAGGTCCTGCCTGCAGGGCTGGATCCTCCAAAGCGTTTTCCTGGCTTTGGCCCCAGGCCCTCGGGGGCTTATCTGACTCATTCCATCAGTATCTCCAGGAACTCTCACTTTGTTGTTCGTTTTTAATAGAGGCCTTTGAGATAGAACAGCTTAATGCAACAGCCCTATCCCAGGCTGAAAGCAGAGAGGTTTGGGCTAGACTTTCTAGGTTATCATCCAAGCTGTGAAAAGACATGAACCCCCCAACCCTCAGCCATAGTCACAGGGGCGTCCCATTACCTGGGCAGGTATTTGTGTGATGGGAATTTGAAGAGAAGAAATGCCCTCACACAGAAGGAGCCCTTCCTGATAAGACAGGACCCCACATGATGCTGGAAGCACCCTCTGCCTCTTGATCCTCCCCCTCACTCGGCACCGATCTCCTAGTCCATCCTGCTGGCCGCATGCACCCACGAACAGGACCTCAGGGTCAAGGAGACCCTCCCCGTGTGGGAGAACCTGCCGGTCATGCTCATCGTCTCCCTTTGGCCGCCCCTTGGGTCATAAGCTGGAGAAGGAAATGGCAACCCACTCCAATATTCTTGCCTAGAGAATCCCATGGACAGAGGCGCCTGGTGGGCTGCACAGAGTGGGACACGACTGAAGCGACTTAGCAGCAGCTGCAGCAGCAGCAGCGGGTCAGAAGCTTCTGTTGTTACAGGGCAGCCCGCCCTTCCGGCTACCCCGGGCTCCAGCCTCGCTGCGGAGGGAGCCCCCGGGGAATCCACAGACGGTCTCCAGCATGCCCACCCCAGGAGAGTTGTTCCCCTCCCTTCCCCAGGGGCGTTTCCACCCTCTGCCTCCCTTCTGACTGTGGAGTGCAAGTCCTTCTCCCCGAGGAAGGAGTTTCACAGACCACATGCTCGGTGCATGGGGAATGAAGCCGCTGCTCTGATACCTGCAGCCAATGACCCAGCTGGGTGACCCCTCCTCTGGCAAGTGGGGCGGGGGCCGCTGAGGCCATGAGGCTGTCTGCCCAAACCCAGCCCTCTCTCCCCACCACACACACACACACACACACACACACACACACACACACAGCTCTTGACACACACACACACACAGCTCTTTTGTTACCCTGAGAGCCCCCTCTGGCCTGGAAGTCTTGGTCCCCAGAGATCCGCATTAAATGCCTGAAAGACACAGCGTATCTACGCGGGCAAGACTCAGGGCCAGCAGCCTGGAGTCTCAGGAACACAGTCACAAGTCATGGGTTTGTTGCACCGCTGTAAATGGGGGACGTTTTCTGGGGTCTCCTCGCTTCCTCGGGGCTTCTGTGCCTATAGCGCCTGCTTGGTGACCGACTGTCCCCGTCTCTGGTTCTAGTTGGCTAATGGTCTTGAACTGGTCTTGAACTGGTTTCAAAAAGATGCCCTGGTGGGAATTTGCTTGCAGATAAGTTTTCTTTGATCTCTGATTATAGATTTTTAACTTAAATGATGAACTTTTCCATTTTGTAAATAAGTTCATTTGCATCATCTTTTAGATTCCACACACAAGAGACATCTTATGATATTTGTCTTTCTCTGTCTGAGTTACTTCACTTAGTATGTTTACAAAACAGGAACAGACCCACATAGAGAGAAGATAAACTTATGGTTACCAAAGGGGAAAGGGGGTGGGGGAACAGATAAATTAGGAGTTTGGGATTAGCAGACACAAACTACTACATACAAAATAGATAAACCAGCAAGGCGCTACTGCATAGCACAGGGAACTATATTCAATATCCTGTAATAAGCTACAACAGGAAAGAACCCGAAAAAGAACATGAATATGCATATATGTAGAACTGAATCACTTTGTTATACACCAGAAGCTAACACAACATTGTAGATCAACTAACTACACTCCAATAAAAAGAAAAAGAGGAAATTCCCTAGCAGGGCAGAGGTTGGGATTCCACACTTCCCCTGTAGGGGGCATGGGTTTGATCCCTAGTTGGGGAAGATCCTGCATACTGTGAGGCTTGGCTAGTAAATTTTTTTTTTTTTTTTAATTTTTCCATGAATTCTGGATTTCCAGTGTCTTTTATGTTTTTGGATGATCTTGTAATACTGGATCCGCTTCCACACAAGACAAGAGACATGCATGCGGCTGGGGCAGGCGCACCTCTCCGCTCCCACTGCCCCTTACCCACCGGGATTCTGGAGACACCTGCTTTGCTTGCCCCGGGCTAGCCACCCTCCAGGCCCCCATTTTCTTATCTGTCAGCTGAACGACTGGCTAAACAGCCTGGCCCTTCCCCTTGAGCTCAGAGGCTCGCCTTCTCTGACAGCTCCACATCTGGGCTAGGAGCTGGGGACAGGTTGGGGGGGGGGGCGGGTCACAAGAGTGGGGGACCAGGCACAGTCAAGGACGCGGGACCGGGGAAAGGAGAGGCCCCCAGAGGAAGAGAGGGGCATCCCAGCAAAGACCCTCTGGGGGTCCGGGAGCGCTGGCCACCCACCTGCCGCTGCTGGGCGTCGCTGCAAGGGGCCAGCACCACGGCGCAGCCCGGGGCGGCCCCTTCCACCGCGCAGTCGGCGCAGAAGCCCAGTCCGGTGTTGTGGAGCTGTAAGCAGACACACGCAGGGGTGAATCCCGCCCTCCGCGCGAAGACACCTCTGTCGGCCGCGGTCCCCTCCTTCTCTCTCTACGGCGGCGCTCAAGGCCCACGATCGGGCCACAGAATCGAGGGAGGTCAAGCTCAAGCCAGTGATGCTGAGGGCCGGGCCTCCTGAAGGCCGTGGAAGCACCCCAGGGCGAGGGGCCCGCGGTGGGTTACGGCCCAGCCCAGCCATCCCCCGCAGGGAGGCCCCGGGGGCTGGGCCTGGATGCCCGCCCGGGGCGGTGGGAGAGCCTCTGAACCCAGGCCCTGGCTGCGGAAGCCGCTCGGCCCCGTCTCCTCCTCCTCTGCCCTTTGTCTCTCGCATGCCTTGCCTTTCCGGAGAACCTGGGCCTGCGTTCCAGTGGGTACAGCTCGGGGTAGACGTTGGCCAGAAACCAGTGGAAGGTCCGGCAGCCCAGCCTCCTCTGCAGCTGCTGACGCTCCACGCAGTCCGGCTTCCCAGCCTGGGGAGGGGGAGACACAGGCGGCAGCCCGGAGAAAGCGGCTTTAGATCACAGCTCACGCCGGGGAGGGGCCGGGGGTCTGGGAGGAAGCCGAGGGATGCCGACCGCACGCGTCACTGTGAGCCGCGTCCCACGCCAAACATATTCACATGTCCTGCCATCGGAACAGTGCTGAGTGGTCGTGGACCAGTTGAAAATGCCCTGTTTGTGGACATTTAATCAAGTGTTTGAAAGGTTTATTTTTCTGGGCTTTTGGGGGGAGGTCCTTCACGTTTACTTTTATGCTTCTATTTGTTTCACGTCTTGGGGTAATTGCACGGCCTTGAGTACTTTCCCTGGGATGAAAGGGCCCTCAGGGACCCATCTCAGCAATTACGCCCCGCCCAGTCTCTCCTCTGGGCCCAGGATGAACGGTGGCAGCCTTAAATGTGATGACAGACTGTCACGTGGTGACAGACCCCGTCCCACAGACATCCGGGGATTCGAGGCCAGGACCAGCTGTGAGTGCCTCCCCCTCCAACCCCCCCAGAGATGCTGGGAGAGACAGAGGACAACCCCAACAGGAGGGGGAGCCCCTTGAGAGGGCCCCCATGGAAGTACCTGCTGGAAGCTTCTGTCTGCCCTTCAAGGCGGAGGCGAGGTACTCCTGGCCCAGCCTCCAGCTGGGGGAGCCCCGGGTGGGCACAGAAGCCTCTGCTGGGCTCCCCCCTTACCTTGCTCAGGGACAAGGCCTCTGGACTGTGCCTGTAGAAGGTTTCTTTGAAGGAGCCCAGCCAGGTCTCAGCGATGCGGACCTTGTTCTGCAGGGTGGCCTCCCGCTCATGCTGGGAGTGGGCATCTTCATTTCGGTAGAGGTGCCCCACGCGGGAGCAGGGCAGGATTTCCACGGAGCCCCCACAGAGCCAGGTCTGCCAGGAAAGAAGAAAACTCACACCTCTGTGCTTCTCTCTAGGGACGTGGGACACGAGGGGCCCCGGGAGGGGCTGATAAAATGCCTGAGACGTCCCGAGCGCAGAATGACGCTAGTTCTCTGGATGGAACAGAGTTTCCTGGTCTGAGAGTTCTGGGCAGCGGGGTGAGGGACAAGGTGGGGAGAACGAGGGTGGTGGTCCCGGGCCGGGACCTGTGAGTTGAGGGGTCACACCCCTGCAACAATGGGAAACACTGGAAACAGTGGCTGACTTTTTTTCCTTGGGCTCCAAAATCACTGCAAATGGTGATTGCAGCCATGAAATTAAAAGACGCTTACTCCTTGGAAGAAAAGTTATGACCAACCTAGACAGCATATTCAAAATGTCAACAAAGGTCCGTCTAGTCAACGCTATGGTTTTTCCAGTGGTCATGTATGGATGTGAGAGTTGGACCATAAAGAAACCTGAGTGCCGAAGAATTGATGCTTTTGAGCTGTGGTGTTGGAGAAGACTCTTGAGAGTCCCTTGGACTGCAAGGAGATCCAACCAGTCCATCCTAAAGGAGATCAGTCCTAAGTGCTCACTGGAAGGACTGATGCTGAAGCTCAAACTCCAGTACTTTGGCCACCTGATGCAAAGAACTGACTCATTAGAAAAGACCCAGATGCAGGGAAAGACTGAAGGCGGAAGGAGAAGGGGACGACAGAGGATGAGATGGTTGGATGGCACCACTGACTCGATGGACATGGGTTTGAGTCAGCTCCGGGAGCTGGTGATGGACAGGGAGGCCTGGCGTGCTGCGGTCCCTGGGACACGACTGAGCGACTGAACTGAACCCCTGCAATTGCCTGAATGTCCCTGCCCCGCTCCTGAAACACATGCCCAGATTCAGCACTTAGAGGATGCTTCTGTTAACACCTGGACTCTCCCAAGGCTGCTTCCCGAGGGGAAAGGGAACCCCTAGTGGCCAGGGAATCTCTAAAAGCTTGTGAAGTCTCCTGCAAAGTTACCAGAAGCCATTCGGGTGGAGATCAATGCAAGCTTTCCTCAAACAGAGTCTTTCCTACTCCTAGAAGTTTCTTTGCTCTCCACTCACTCCTACTCCCAAATGCCTGGAGTTCATCTGACAAGAAGTGTCTTATTCCCTACTTGGGAATAAAGAGGAAATCGAAAACCTGCCTCGGATAGGCAGTACATGAACAAAAAGACATCAGGAAGGCAAACCATGGTCTTTCCAAAGTGGGTGCCAGAGCAAACTCAGATGGCTGAGTGGGCTATTTTCAACATTCAGGAGGAACATAATGACACCTGTTAGATGTTCTGCAAACTGATTTCAACCTCAGATTGCTGTACTTTCAATGCTGTTTGTCTTCGCTGGGTTGGGTTTTCAGGGGTTGCTACAGTGAAAAAGCAGGCTAAAAATCAATGAGGAACAGGAAATGTGGGTGGAGGGTCCGATCTGATCCAAGGCTTGAGAAATTGTGTGGTGCACAGTGGGGCTACACTGTTTGGACAAATGCTCATTAAGTTGTTTGGTGGTGGTTTAGTCACCAAGTCGTGTCCGACTCTTGTAACCCCATGGACAGAGGAGCCTGGCAGGCTATAGCCCATGGGATTCTCCAGGCAAGAATACTGGAGTGGGTGGCCATTTCCTTCTGCAGGGGATCTTTCCAACCCAGGAATCGAACCTGGGTCTTCTGCATTGTAGGCGGATTCTTTACCAACTGAGCTACAAGGGAAGCCCCATTAAGTTGTTTGGATCAAACGAAGCACACAGAATTATGTGGTATTTGCTCCGGCCAGTGGGCATGGTGAAAACTCTCCAGGGGCTAAGTGTGCTGGCCTCGGAGGACATCTAGGAAGCTCTGTGTCAGGCGGAGATGGCTGAAGACATGCCCTCTCCTTCGAGCGGGCTCAAGTGGGTTCAGGAGGGAGGCTATGCTGAAGCCAAGAGAGGCCAGAGGGGCAGAGAGCAGGGTGGGACACCCCCCCGGATGATGACTCTGTGTTTGTCTGAAGCTGCATCCTTGACCTCCAAGCTGTGATGCCACCCATGGCTCCAGAGAGACTCCTGGGCCTCCCGTAGCCCAGGACATACCTTGAGAGACAGCTCGAGGTTTTCACCTCCCTGCAGTGACAGGAGAGGGTCATACGCTCCGGTGTTTTGGAAGTAATGTCGGTCCATGGCCACCACCCCGCCAGGTACCACGGGGCTCCTGGGAAGAGAGGGAGGGAACAGACCGCAGTTCAGAACCCGGAGCGCCTGGGGGTGGGCATGGCAGGTGGGGGTGCTCCAGGGGCCCAGAGAGTGGACCTAGGGCTCAGTCAGACCGCAGGGCTTTTAATTGCGAGGCTGGGGCCAAGCGAGCATGTCACAAGCCCTGGTGTTTCATGAAGAGAGAGTGCTGGCTGCCTGGACCTTTCATAGCCCATCCTTGGACTCTGCTCCTTCAGGGAGGGCCCCCTCTCTGGTGAGGTCTTTGGAAAGAAGACCTTGGTTAAAATAAGGTGCCCCGAGGCCAGCAGCCCCAGGCCTGGACCAGAGGGACCAGCAGGCCTCTTCCTGCCCTCATTCTTGACCTCACACTCTTCTGCTTCACGAGCACGCACCCCCTAAGACGAATGCTGCAGGGACTCTGGAATAGGTAGGTCCCCAGATGCTCTGGGGGAAATACACGTGCCTTAAAAACACAGGAAGCTGGAATCCCTGAGTGAGGGAATTAAGATGACAGCAACATCCTTTAGAAGAGCTTACCTGAGGAGGACAGAGCCAGAGGCTTCGGAATCAGAATCTCTTCATTCAAAAGAGTACACATTTCAATATGGCCAAACTCTGGGTGTGCCTCAAGGGTGGATGACTCAGAGTTCAGATTTTTTAAATTACTAAGACAATAGTGTTACATGAACAAAACTACTGACGTTTGGGCTATTAAAAATATGAAGTTACACCACAATAAAAACCAGCAGTGTAATTCTTTCCAGTTTTACCACTTACAATTTGTAAGGTCTTGGATGAGATAGATGACCACTCTGGGCTCAATTTCATCTCCTCTAACTGGGGACAATAATGGAGTTTTGGGGGACTCAAAGAAATGTCATGTAAAGTACATCTGCTTGCCAAAACCGAAAGATCTCTGAAAATCAAGTGCTTTTTCATGATGCCTTTGGCAGCGAGCCCTGCCCTGAACTGATACGGGTATCTGTATAGCCTTTATGTACCTGGCAATGATAGATTGTATTTAAAACTTGTCTTTAAAACACAGCAGAGCGAAGCCATGAAGAGCACTGTAGCAGGAGGCTGGCCTCCAGGTTTAACCTTGGCTCTGCCGCTTAACAACTTTATGCAACTGGGCAACCTCTATAGGGTTCACCTCTAATTTAACCTCTGTGTACCTCCATTTTCACATGTGTGAAATGGGACTAATAATAGTAATTACTACCAGTAACTGCTTCACAGAATTATGTGCGTGCTAAGTCACTTCAGCTGTGTTGGACTCTGCATGACGCTATGGACTGAAGCCCACCAGGCTCCTCTGTCCATGGGATTCTCCAGGCAAGAAAATGAGTGGTTGCCATGCCCTCCTCCAAGGGATCTTCATGACCCAGGGATCCAACCTGTGTCTCTTGTGTCTCCTGCAGTGGAAGGCAGGTTCTTTACCACTGAGCCAGCTGATATGTATAATACGTTTATAGCATTAACTAAGCACACGTTCAATAAATATCGCTTAATACTGTCATTTGCAAATGTACAAATGATGATATCCTTTCTGGAATTTTCTTGGCATCTGTATATAGTCGGTACCCAACTTCATCCTAATTCCACTTTCATGCTCTCTCACCAGACTGCTGAGAGAGGCCATGCAGTCAGAGTACCCAGGGTGGGGAAGACACAGTTAGAAACGTATGAACGTGTGTGAAAAGAGATCTGGGCCTTTTTCGGGGAGCCTGAGGCCTCCACAGGGGCCGGGCAGCAGCTGGGTCTCCGGGAAGGAGAAGCCGCCCCAGGCGAAGGCGACTGGGCTCTCTCTGGCTGGAACTTTGGCCAATTGTAGGTCAAACTGGGTGGGTCAAGGTGACTGCAGTGACCTTGGGCATCAGAGAGACCCTGAGGCCTAAAAGAAGGTTCCAGAGAGGACTGGTGCTTGGAGCCAAGGAGGCTTTGCTCAGGTTGGGCAAAGCTCCTCTGAGGAGTCTGTTCTCTTGAGTGGAATCCCTTCGCTTTGGCTGGAGCAGAATACATTGCTCCCTCAGGCAGGCCCCTCTCTTAACTCTGCGGACCCACCTATCCAGCACTCCTCATAATGCTGAGATCTACCATCCTCCCACACCATAACTCAGAGAGGTCCAGAAACTTCCCTTTCAATTCTTTGGGGTCACAGACCTCGTAGAGTGTCTGGCATGAAACAGGGGCTCAGAAGATGCTGACAGGCCAGTAATGAAGTTAGACTCAGCTCTCTGTGCTTCCAGGATGCCCTATGACAGAAGGAGGTAAAACATATCTGGTTCTGCACACCACCCCTTACACCTGCGTCTTAGTACCGTGACCCTTCCCCACTGGGAGTACGAGGCTTGAGGTTGGTATGGGCCTGTTCCAGACTGAATGTCTGTGTCCCTCCCAAATCCACATGTCAAAGCCCTAACCCGCAGTGTATTGGATTTGGAGATGGGGCCTCTGAAAAAATAATTAAGGCTAAATGAGGTCCAGCAACATAAGAAAATAAATCTTATGTTGATTAAGCCACCCAACCTGTGGTTTTTTGTTATGACCGCTGAGCTGGCGACAACGTGGCCCCAAAGCCAAGAACAAAGACAATAGACTCTGAGTTTTCAAGTCTAACGGCAAAGCTGCGGTCTAGGCCTAAGGTGAGGGCTCATCCTCACAGAGCCAGGATTTTCTATGTCCAAACTAGGTAAGACCTCTCCAGCGGAGAGAAGAGACAGCCCATGGGGAGACCAAGACACAGAGGTTCAGGTAGATCCCCGAGTAGCACCTGGTATCCAGCTTGACATCTTCAGGGCAGTTCTTGGAGGAGGGGGATCCCTTGCTTGTTGTTTGGGGACCAGAGAGCAGAGGGCGCATGGCCCACCTCCCAGCTGGCGGCCCTGGGAGTTCAGACCCCCCGGATGGCCCTTGGCCCCAGGAGATAGGGTCTAGGTGGTGCCCGGGGAGGCAGGTGGTAGGTGCAGCTCCTTAGAGGCTCCCGGAGCATCAGCACGCCAGGGTGGGCCGGAAGAAGATGTGGGACCTCGGCAGATGCCATGTGGAGGGTGCAGGCCAGTGGGACCCGTGTGCCAGCCGCCATCTGTGGCCACAGCTGGTGAAAGCACACGCATCATGGTGAACCCAACAGGACAGCCAGAGCCTGACATGGAGCACGTCCTTCCCACCGGCGTCCCCCACGGAAGCCTGGAGCCCAGAGTCCACCCCAGAGGGACGGGAGGGTGGACACGCCTGGATGACAGATTTAATGACGAGGTGGCTAAGCTATCACTGAACCCGTCTAATTTATCCAGAAGTTTTCTGCCGTTAGCAGACAGGGATCAAGAGAGAAATTACCTAAATTCAGTTAGTAGAAAATAAAAAGATACTTTTTACATTTCTAATCTTGGTGGCTTAGGTCATCTATTAGTCACACACCCTCGGGTAGACACTTGGAAGTCCTGTTTGTGACTAGCGTGTCACTCTGTGTCCATAGCCTAGGCACAAGGAAACAGCTTGGGTGGTTGCTTGGTGTTGGGCAGGTCAAAGGTGGCAGAATCCTTGTTCCTTGGACTCTGTCTGCAATGTGACATTGACCCCACCGAGTTAGGGTCACGTCTCCCTCCTGGGAACCTAGGGGGCCTGCGGCTGTGGAGGAAGTGACCCGGGGTGACCTCTGAGACTTGCTTATAAAAGGGGGTACATACTCTGAAACATCACGATAAGTGGGAGAAGCCAGTCACAGAGGTCACCTATTGTGTGCGCCCCTTGGTGTTAAATATCCAGAACTGGTAAATTCATGGAGACAGACAGTGGATTGGGGATTGTTAGTGGCTGGAGAAAGGGGACAGTGGGAGGCAGCAAGGAAGGGATTTTCCTTTAGAAAAAGGGAAATGTTTTGGAGCTATAAAGAGGCAATGGTTGCTCAGCATTGCAAATATACTGAATTGTTCACTTAGAAATGGTTCATTTTATATTATATGAATTTCGCCTCAATACATTATTTTTTTAATTAGGTAGGAGATTACAGCTTGCTTTGCCTGAGTCTTCTGGGACCCTTGCTGTCTGAACCCAGTGCCAGGGTGTAGGAAGCCCCAGGGAACCCGCCTGCAGTGATCTCATGGAGAGAACAGGGAAGAAGCTCCCACAGGGAAGGGTTCCAGTGATGGCCAGCATCAGACTCTGGGGAATCCTGCCCCGAGCTGTTGAGTCATCTCCAGCCAGTCTAGTCTAGTCGAGGCTGGTCCTGCTGAGACCCCGGACACCACGGAGCAAACAGCCAACATCACTACTCCTTTCAGAATTCACAACCCAGAGTCCAGGCTCTTAACAACAGTTCCTCCACACGCTAAAGTTTGGATGGTTTGTTACACAGCAGAAGCTCTCTAGAACATTGACTAGATTTTAAACATAACATATCCTATGTTAAACATAGGATATGTGCCTAAAAGTCAAACTCGTGAGAAGCAAACCATAAAGCTGGACATATTTTGAGACTTCCAGTTTCTTAGCATTTACTTAGCTGAATTCTTCCCTTTTACCAAGAAAGCATCTGAGGCCTGGGAAACTCCAGAGTTTCCTGGTGAGACAGAGCTGGATTGAGACCCCAGATAAGATGCTTCCGCTTCCTACTTCCATGGTCTGGAAACTTTGCCGGACTCCACTCATATAACACTGTGAGGATAATAACACCCATCCCTGAGTGTCTGACAGTTTCTGCATGCTTCTCATATATTAGCTCACTGAAACCTCACAGCCTCCCTAGAAGGTAAGTACCATCGTGATCCCCAGCTTATTGATTAGGTACCTTGCTACAAGCTCCAATATTGACACTCCAATACTTTGGCCACCTGATGCAAAGAGCTGACTCACTGGAAAAGACCCTGATGCTGGGAAAGATTGAGGGCAGGAGGAGAAGGGGACGACAGAGGATGAGATGGTTGGATGGCATCACTGACTCGATGGGCATGAGTTTGAGTAAGCTCCGGGAGTTGGTGATGGACAGGGAGGCCTGTGTGCTGCAGTCCATGGGGTCGCAGAGAGTCAGACACGACTGAGCGACTGAACTGAATTGCATTGAACCTGCTAGGAGAGGGGGAGAGCCGGGGTTGGCCCAGGCCGCCTGCTGCCGAGCCCGCCCACTGCTGAGCCCGCACGGGGGAGGCAGTGGCAAAGCCGGCCAGAGGAAGAGCCTCACCTGATGGGACTGACAGGGGAGGCAAGGGCCCTCCTCTCGCGCTCCGGCAAAGGCTCCCAGTGGAAATCCAGCTTCCAGTCCAACACTCCTCGCTGCTGGTCCTCGGAGGGGTAATACTGGAAGGTCTTCCAGTCAATCACGTCTAGGACAGGAGACACCACCCTGCTCCTGAAAGGAACCGTGAGATCAGAGAAGAGATACACACATTCCATTTGCTGGGGAGGGGGGTTGGGCAGAAACATAATTTAGCCAGCAGCCCCCAAAGTGGCAACCACCATCCATGCAGCCACTGGGCACCTAAAATACCAGGTGTCTGAACCGAGATGTGGTGTAAGTGTGAAACACCCACTGCATTGAGAAGACTTAGTATGAAAAATGGTGTGCCCATCTCAGTAAGTATCATATGGATTACATGGTTCCTACCTGGATCATGAAACTTGGTTGTCTTGGGGAACCAGGATTGTCAAGCCCCAGAAGTCTCCTTGATGTTAAAGCATGTGTGTGTGTGTGTGTGTGTGTGTGTGTGCACGTGCGCACATGCATGCACGTGCACATGTGCGTATATATGAGTACATGGTGTCTCTCAACAAAGTCCTGCAACTAGATTTACTTGTTCATTTACTGTAGCTGTTGGCGTTGTATTTCATCCCAGTTTTTTTGCACAGCCTGGGACTACATGACCTCAGAGAGAGCACTATGGGAAATTGGTACAGATTTCAGTACAGGTTGGAAACCCTGCCTTTTGACGCATCACTCAGGTATAACAGCAGCTGCCCTCCACCTAGTCATATCTCAGTCACATTTTTTTCCTGGCCTCTCATGACAGTTTCTTCTAAAAACTGTACCTTGGAATGAGTTAGGCATGAACTCAGGGGTTACCCAATTAGAGTGGTAAGAAAAGTCTTAGACTGGCTGGCAGTTACCAGCCTAAGAAAAGGAATACTCCTGGGAAAGAGATGCCAGCCATGCTGTTTACACTCCCATCGGTTTCCATCCACCTTGGAGACGGCCGGGGCTGGCACGGAGACGGCCGGGGCTGGCACGAGCCCAGCCCGTGTGGAGAGGGCCAGGGTGGTCCTGGAACTCAACGATCTGCTTTAATCTGTGGCCTCCAGTGACCGGCCTTGGCATGAAGAGTTACGGGGTTTATATTTACAGCAAGGATCTTGATACATTTCCCCCACCTTCTGGAAGGTAGTGGTAACTTAATACCTCTGGCCTCCACCACTTTGGAGCACGATGCACTGACCTAAGGAAACTGAGGAGTACGGGCAAGGATTTCAGGAGCCAGGTTTGCTTACTGTTGAGTGAGCTGTGTGGAGAGGATGGATTTGGCAACTGGCAGAGCATTTTGTGGGATTTCAGAATCAAGAGCCAGGGAAGCTGTGTGGCTGAATTCTGAAGAATCCCATCAAGTCGGTGCCATCTTAGTAATTGCAACAGGACAAGAAAGGAAACTGCGTTCAAGTGTCTACACCATCAATTTGTCCCGGATCTTTCAACTGTGTCCTTCTTGATAAAAAGTTGTACATCCCTTTTCATCAGAGGATGATCACCCTAGAGTTTCTCTTTTTGCTCTGTCTCGCTGGAGGCTCAGGGTCATATGTAAATCTCGTTTCTAATAACTGTATTACCCCCAGTTTCCAACACCGTCTTTTCCTTTCTGAAGTCTTCGCCTTCTGTTTTAGCTAGTTACATAAGTGATTCATCATAAGCCTCTGAACACATTTTGGGTAAAGATGAAGATTAAAATGTCAATGAATGGAATAAAAGATGTTTCCTTATTTTGGTTTTTATTCCCATGGGCCAGAGTGGCTACTTGGTTGGGGCTGAATTAGGAAGACATTGGAGTGGAGGGACTTGAAAAGGAGTGATTTAAAAAAAAAGTCATACTTAGCTTTGTTTTTCAAATCTACAGATGTATTTGGAGTTCTTGGAATTCACTTAGGGCAAAATAGCAAAGCTTTCCTGTCTGACTTGGAAGGAGCGAGGAAAGGACTTACTCCATCATCCTGTCACTTCTGAACTGAGTTTTAACTCGCAGGCGGACTTGAGGTCAATCCTCTCCTAAGCCTTTCTAAGCTCTAGGTGGTCAAGCATTTGGGTTTCAATGGAGCTGTCAACAAACTCCAACAAAAACTGAAATACGTGAGGTCAACAAAGGCACCACTGTCCAGAGAGCCAAAAGCTGACTGCAACTGCAAACTCATCCACCAAACTTTTACCACAAGGAGGAAGGACCCTAGTTTATCTCACCACTCTTTGTTTTTCCCGCGGGCCTGAATGTTCCTCTTGCTCTGTGATGTAGAAAGTCATTCTGGAAGCTCATGCAAATTCTCGGTGTTTGTGAGAAGTGTCTTATAAGCTCTAAGCCTCTCTTCCCAGAGCTTTGCTGCTCAGGTGCGACCCCAAGACTGACGCTGGTCCTCCCAGGACTCTGTCTGGCGAGGGGGGCAGAGCAGGAGAGGGGCTGAGAGCTTCCCTGGGGCCACAGACGGGAGGAAGGCAGCTCGCTCTGCAGGGCTGGAGGCATCTTAATCCCTTGCTGCTCCTCAACACACACACACACACACACACACACACATGCACACACATGGGATTCTTCAGACTGCCTTCCATCACTTAAGCCCTCCAGTATAGAGCAGCCTCAACCTCAGCTGAGTACTAGGTGACCTTGAGAACTAGGTGACCTTGAGAACCAGAAGACCCTGAGAAATAGATGACCTCGAGAACTAAGTGACCTTGGGATCTAGATGAACTTGAGAACTAGGTGACCTTGAGGGCTAGGTGATCTTGAGAATTATATGACCTTGAGAACTAGATGACCTTGAGAACTAGGCATCTCTTTTGGATGCTTTTGATTTGTTAATGTGGGTTCATCAGTTGTAACAATTTTATCACTCTGGTGGAAGATGTTGACAACAGGGAAGGCTATGCACGTGTGGAGGCAGAGGATATATGAGAAATCTCTGTAACTTCCTCTCAATTTTGGGCTTCCCTTGTAGCTCAGTTGGTAAAGACTCTGCCTGCAGTGCAGGAGACCCGGGTTTGATTCCTGAGTCGGGAAGATCCCCTGGAGCAGGAAAGGGCAATCCACTCCAGCATCCTTGCCTCTCAATTTTGCTGTGTACCAAAATTTGTTCTAATAATAGAGTCTATTTAAAAAAAAAAAACAGAATGAAGACATCCCAGACCCTGCCCTTTGACCAGTGATCCAAGAGCTCTTTGGAAACTATAAAGTGATACACACATAGTTTTAAAAAAGAACTTCGTGTCCCTAAGGCAGGAGCCTGGACCGGTCTTCAAGTGGGAAACAGCGTGGTCAGGCTCCTGAGCCAGGAACACCCCTAAGAGCGGGGTTTGCCCCTCTGCCCTTGGAGATCTCCCTTTTCCTCTGGCCACGACCCTTTCTCCCTGGCCTATGCCCTGGAGCTGCAGTTGGCTCAGGCAGTGGTGGCCGGGGAGGGGGGTGTGTTCTGTGAGTGGCTGAGGCCGCAGACCATTTTTCCCTCTCCCGCCTCCTGCTCCACAGCCCCCGGTAGTGAGTTACCTGTCACCAGCTATTCTGGCCAGGAGGGGCTCCAGCCAGCCCGGCTGGCACTCGCAGTGGGCGTCCATGAAGACCAGCACGTCCCCAGTGGCCCTGGCGGCCCCCAGCATCCGGGCCCTGCTGGCGCCCAGTCTCCTGTTGCTCCTGAGTAATTTCACCCCCTCCAACCGGGCCACGTGCTCGCTGAGAGCCATCCTGAGTTGTCCTGGAATCGACAGGGTGGTGGTCAGTGAGGTCATGGGATGCCACAGCCCCCGAGAGTGCGATGACCACCACTAGGATCATCGCCAACAGGCCGCTCTTGGGAGCGGAGGTGAGCATCACCTACATTACCGGGTGGTTGTTGCTAAGATGTGAGATGCATTGTTCCTTTGGGTGGATCGGGGTTCTCTCTGGTAAAAACCAGGACAAATGGCATTGTGAAGCTAGGAGAGAAGAGAACGTGCTCACATTCTCCAAAGGCAGCAGCGAGGTTGAAGCAGACGCTGCTGGTGTCCCGCTCAGATGCCCTGGGACCCCTCTTTCTGGTCTGGTTTTCAGGTGCCCAGCTGCTGGGGGTTGGCTGCTAACTGCAGTCCCCATCCTCCCTGGAGATGTGACCCAGGGGACGTCCTGTGAGCCTCTCCTGCAAGTAGCAGGGAGTTGGGCAGAACGCCACCCCTCACCCCAGGTGGGCGGTGGGTGGTTGGCAATGACCGACCGCTGCCTGAATACCAAACCCACTCTTTGCCTCAAGGCAAGACAGATGCTGAGGTGCATCTGGGGATGGGCTGTGGCTGAACTTCACCTGACACCGAATCTTAGCTCAACTCCTTCTGCCTCCTCCAGCTTTCCCCGCTCCCCTAGAGTGCCCCCCTGAGAGCACTGCCCCCCAATAACATACACACGATCCCCATCTCAGGCTCTGCTTCTAGGGTACCTGGCCTAAGACACAGGGGTCAAGGAAGTCAAAGGCAGAGGGTCCATTGTCGGCGGCCCCCAGGAAGGTGGCAGTGGCCAGAGAGGTCTTACTGCGGTGGTGGGGAGTGAGCGATGCCGCGGTGAGGGGAAAATAGGAGGCTAGAGACAGGGCAAGAGTCTGCACGTTCTTCCAGGAATGACAGTCCTATCGAGGATACAGGTCGAGAGAAGCTTTTTAGGCTTTGTATTCAGGATCAGAAAAACTGTGCGAATGGACAGGTGTGAGTGCGCCCAGATGAGGAAACTAGCAGAGATGGGAAGACCACCGGACAGTCATCCTTCAGAGTCAGGGTGAGGGCGTTGGTTCCAGGAGTCCCCCCACCCACCGCAGACACCAAAATCTGCAGATGCTCTAGTGCTCAAGTCCCTTACATAAAAGGTCAGCACAAGGGACCTCTCTGCCGGTCCAGTGGTTAGGACTCCACACTTCCAATATAGGGGCGCAGGACTAAGATCCCACATGCCGTGCAGTGCGGTCAAAAAAACCAACAACGAGAGGGCAGCACAGTCACCCTCGAGCTGCTGGTTCCGCACCTGCGGCCAGCATCACACCCTGTGGGTATCACAGTGGGGCGGAGCCTCTGGGGCTCTTCCCGGATGAGTCTCCTGCGCCCGAATCCCCATCTGCGGGACCGCTTCCGGGAACCCCGTCTACACAAGCTCCAAACCCCAGTCTGTGCAGGGAGCCCCCCAGGGTCCAGGCCCTCCCGAGAGAGCCTGGAGGAAGCCCGCGGCCACCTTGCTGGCTGAGGTCGTCCACCAGGACGATCTCCTTCAGGAAGGCCCTGGGCGCCGTGTCCAGGATGCTGTGCACGGTCCTCAGGAGGGTGGACCAGGCCTCGTCGTGGAAGCAGAGGATGACGCTGGCGGTGGGCAGGCTGTCCGTGGGCGGCGGCTGCTGCAGGCACCTGCAGGGAGGAGAGGCAGGATGTGAGGGGAAGGGGAGCCCCAGCTGGGGTGGCGCCTGCCAGTGACTCTCCTCCCAGCTCGATGGCTCTCTCCCTGGGTCTTCTCAGAACTTCCACCAAAGAGAACCCATTATGCCCTCACAGATGTGCTGTCCACTGTCTCCCAGGCCTTGGATTCCAAGAACTGATTTACAGTGTTTATCCTTGCCTCTCCCCTAGCAGCTGAGCGGTATTACCACCGTTTCTCAGCAGACGACTGTCCTAATCTGTAAAATGGGAATGAATGACAAGATCACCCACCTCTTAGAGCTGGTGTGAGGCCCTGACAGGACAAGATACACAGTAAGTGTCCTGTCAACACGAAAGATCGTCTGTTTAAGAGCAAGGACACTATTTTCTTCATTTTTGTATTCCTACAATTTAGCATAGCATCTGACACATAATACATGTTAATTTTTATTTCACTCTATGTGTGTCCTTTGCCCTAAAGTGGGTCTCTTGCAGGCAGCATTATAGTGGGTTCTTGTTTTTGTTTTTTTTTAACCCACTCTGCCACTCTATGTCTTTTAGATGGATGTGGCACATTTAGAGGCACATTTAGCCCACTGGCATTTAAGGTAATTATTGATAGACATATACTTATTGTCATTTTAAACCTTGTTTTCCCATTGATTTCATATTTCTTCCTTGTCCTTTTCCATTTTGTGGTTGGATGATTTTCTTTTGTATTAAACTTATTTCTTTGCTTCTTGGGTTTTGTGGACTTACTGTATGTTTTAGATTTGTGGTCACTCTGTTTTTCAAGTACATTAATCCCTTCCTCTATCTTCTCATATTAGACTGGTAGTCATATAGGTTCAAACACATTCTAGAAAAAAGAACTAGAGTATTTTCTTAAATACTATGACTATTTTCTTACTCATCCCCCACATTTGATGATTTTATGATTTTACATCTTCAGGTTCATCATTTTACTGTCCATTGTGGTTGTCATCACTTTCACAGAAAAAATTTTCTTGTTTTTTTTTTTTATCTGTGTACTGGTTTATTTACATGATTTACCCTCCAATTATAATTTTCTCTTTCCTATAGATTCTTACTTATTTTCTATTTAGAGAAGACCTTGCAATATTTCCGTTGGGGTAGGTTTAGTATTGCTCTATTCTTTTCATTTTTGCTTGTCTGAGACATTCTTTACTTGTCCCTCTATTCTAAATGATAGTCTTGCTGGGTAGAGTATCCTAGGCTGCAATTTTTTCCCTTTCAGGACTTTGTATATGTCTTGCCTCTCCCCTGTGGCCTGCAACTTCTCTGTAGAGAAATCAGCTGACGGCCTTATAGGGGTTCCCTTTTCATCCTCTCTTTCACTTTAGCCATTTTAATTATCATCTGTCTTGGTGTAGACCTGTGTCTGTTCAGATGACTCACAGGTGCTGACTTTACAAAGCCAGGGGCAAGGGTGTAAATCCATGGTGCGCACAACTGAAGGGAGAGAAAATTCACCCCTGCCTCCCAAGTAGCGTGGCCCCTGGGGCTCAGCTGTGGTTTCATTTACCCTTCTGCACGTGGGCAGCCTGTGGCATCTGCTGCTGAGCCCCTGAGCGGTGGCTGGGGTGCACTCTCTAGGAGCCCGCGGAGGTAGGGTCAATGTGTGGAGACAACGGCTGCTATAGTGACCCTGCCCTTGGCGCGCTACTTAGCAATAGTGCGTTGCTACTGTGGAGGGCTGGGCTTCTTCCAAGAACACCCCTTGTTGAACTGGGTCATGCTACAGGCCCTTCAGGCTACCTCTGAGCAGCCAGCTCCATTCCTCTCCCCAGGCCAGGCCTCTGAACTCCGAGTCCCAGCACCCAGCCCCGGTCCGTAGAAGCAGACTTGTGTCTCAGACTGGGTGCCCAGGCTGGTGGCTGGACTGTCCATGCAGGCCTCTCTGCTCTGTCTGCTGCAGGCTGGTGGCTGGGCTCACCTCTGAGCCTCTGAAGCTCCGTTTCTGAGCTCCCCACTGGTGAAGGGGCTTCCCAGAGTTCAGGAACATTTCCTCTTTTCAGCTCCCTCCCAGAGACCCAGGAGATGTCCAACTTACCCCCTTTCCCCCTTTCATCCTACCCAGTTGCATAGAAACCTTTCTTGTCCTTTCAGGAGTTTGAGATCTTCTGTTGGGTCCAGGAAGGAGGTGCTCTGTGAGAACTTCCCCGCCTGTAGATGTGTTTTTGATGTATCCCTAGAAGGAGGTGAGTTCCACGTTCTTCTACTCTGCCATCTTGATCAGAGCTCTCTACATGCTAATTATTATTGTGATTAATATTGTAATTATTATTGAAGAAGGATCAAACCTTTGGGAGCAGTAACAACATGCCAGATGCTGTGTCAAGCCCTTTATGCACATTACTGCCTGTTGAGTCTGTAGGTTGGACCATCTAATCCCACTTTACAGATGAAGAAACTGAGGCTCAGAGGGAACAAGGATCATCAAAGCCACATGATCAGTGATTGGCAGAGCTGGATATTATACCTTCACAGCAGTCACACCCTTTCCCCTTTGCTGGTTTGTGACTGGACCAATGGGTGTGTATGTGTGTGTGTGTGGGTGTGTGATGGTGTGATCGCTGCCAGGAGATTCTTAGGTTCCCACCTTCCTCTCCAGGTGAAGAGAATGCTCTGTTCTATGTTCACTGAGCATGGGGTCTGTGAGGACTCTGAGTGAATCCACAGTGGAAAGAACTCTAATAACACCCTGACCCATAAAGCAGCATGCAGTTCATACCTGTCCACAAAGGCACTTTCTTAAAATGCACTGCTAGAGTGCACCTTTCCAGGTTGTAGCTGCTGAAACCACCAGTCTGTCCTCACAGAGGCATTTGTATTTGAACTGGGGTTGTCTCAAGGACCTCAAACTTTTGACATCTAAAGGCATCTGTGAAAATTACTAGAGCTAATCAATGAATATAGTAAAGTTGCAGGATATAAAATTAACACACAGAAATCCCTTGCATTCCTATACACTAACAATGAGAAAACAGAAAGAGAAATTAAGGAAACAATACCATTCACCATTGCAACAAAAAGAATAAAATACTTAGGAGTATATCTACCTAAAGAAACAAAAGACCTATACATAGAAAACTATAAAACACTGATGGAAGAAATCAAAGAGGACACAAATAGATGGAGAAATATACTGTGTTCATGGATTGGAAGAATCAATATTGTCAAAATGGCTATACTACCCAAAGCAATCTATAGATTCAATGCAATCCCTATCAAACTACCAATGGTATTTTTCACAGAACTAGAACAAATAATTTCACAATTTGTATGGAAATACAAAAAACCTCGAATAGCCAAAGTAACCTTGAGAAAGAAGAATGGAACTGGAGGAATCAACCTGCCTGACTTCAGACTATACTACAAAGCCACAGTCATCAAGACAGTATGGTACTGGCACAAAGACAGAAATATAGATCAATGGAACAGAATAGAAAGCCCAGAGATAAATCCACGAACCTATGGACACCTTATCTTCAACAAAGGAAGCAAGAATATACAATGGGAAAAAGACAACCTCTTTAACAAGTGGTGCTGGGAAAACTGGTCAACCACTTGTAAAAGAACGAAACTAGAACACTTCCTAACACCATACACAAAAATAAACTCAAAATGGATTAAAGATCTAAATGTAAGACCAGAAACTATAAAACTCCTAGAGGAGAACATAGGCAAAACACTCTCCGACATAAATCACAGCAGGACCCTCTATGACCCACCTCCCAGAATATTGGAAATAAAAGCAAAAATAAACAAATGGGACCTAATGAAACTTAAAAGCTTTTGCACAACAAAGGAAACTATAAGCAAGGTGAAAAGACAGCCCTCAGATTGGGAGAAAATAATAGCAAACGAAGCAACAGACAAAGGATTAATCTCAAAAATATACAAGCAGCTCCTGCAGCTCAATTCCAGAAAAATAAATGACCCAATCAAAAAATGGGCCAAAGAACTAAACAGACATTTCTCCAAAGAAGACATACAGATGGCTAACAAACACATGAAAAGATGCTCAACATCACTTATTATCAGAGAAATGCAAATCAAAACCACAATGAGGTACCATTATACGCCAGTCAGGATGGCTGCTATCCAAAAGTCTACAAGCAAGAAATGCTGGAGAGGGTGTGGAGAAAAGGGAACCCTCTTACACTGTTGGTGGGAATGCAAACTAGTACAGCCACTATGGAGAACAGTGTGGAGATTTCTTAAAAAACTGGAAATAGAACTGCCATATGACCCAGCAGTCCCACTCCTGGGCATACACGCCGAGGAAACCAGATCTGAAAGAGACATATGCACCCCAATGTTCATCACAGCACTGTTTATAATAGTCAGGACATGGAAGCAACCTAGATGCCCATCAGCAGACGAATGGATAAGGAAGCTGTGGTACATATACACAATGGACTATTACTCAGCCATTAAAAAGAATTCATTTGAATCAGTTCTAATGAGATGGATGAAACTGGAGCCCATTATACAGAGTGAAGTAAGCCAGAAAGATAAAGACCAATACAGTATACTAACGCATATATGTGGAATTTAGAAAGGTGGTAACGATAACCCTATATGCAAAACAGAAAAAGAGACACAGATGTATAGAACAGACTTTTGGACTCTGTGGGAGAAGGCAAGGGTGGGATGTTTTGAGAGAACAGCATCAAAACACGTATATTATCTAGGGTGAAACAGATCACCAGCCCAGGCTGGATGCATGAGACAAGTGCTCAGGCCTGGTGCACTGGGAAGACCCAGAGGAATCAGGTGGAGAGGGAGGTGGTAGGGGGGATCGGGATGGGGAATACATGTAAATCCATGGCTGATTCATGTCAGTGTATGACAAAAACCACTACAATATTGTAAAGTAATTAGCCTCCAACTAATAAAAATAAATGGAAAAAATAAATAAATAAAGGCATCTGTGCTGGCCTGGGGATCAGCCCTAGCTGTTC